GGGTTCCAAATAAGCAAGCCTTCTTCTCCCCCATTTGAAACTTACCAACCCTGGCTAGTATAAAACTTCGTGTGGGCACCAAGCTTATCCAATCTAAGCAATGTTGGGTCCTTCACTATGTTTAGGGACCTCTCTTCCCATGGTACTTTGTTTTGGTAGCCAGGCTTACTGCGCTCTGCTCATTTTTACAGTCTTTTTTAATTATCTGACCTTAACCTCCAGAAGACACAAATTCATACTGAATTAAACAGATTATGCTTGTGGTTATCTGCTACATAGTCATAAAAAAATGGAAGGCTGCTTACATAGCTTTTCCCTGACTACAGCTCACTTACAATGCTCACATAAAGCAGATATGCAGTGAAGCCATGTGCCCTAGCTGTGACTTGCTCTGTACTCTTGTGCATCTAAACTCGTTACTTCCTAAGGTGTCACCAGAAAATTTCTTATATACCTGCTACAGTCAACCATTACTTTGTCTCTAAGGACAATGGATTTGGGGGGTTCTTATAGTGTATATTTATGACATTGCAAACAGTAAACCAGTGTTTAAGAAGTAACACTGCAGGTTACTCCAGATGTAAATTTCTGATCTAAGTGAAATTAATGGCAAAACTCCCAAATTTGGTGAGTTGAAATTTCCGAGGAAATCTAACAATGCAAACAACTGCAGGATGCAGCATACCTCTCTTACCTCTCTTTTCATCTTAAAACTTAACTCACTTTTTTTTTTTTTTTCTCCAATTGGCACATGAATACACTACAAGCTAAACACAACAAAAAGCTATGAAATACAGCAGCAAAATACTTACAACATGCATGTGTACTGTAAATAATCTGGAGTGTCTTCAAGTTTTTAACTGTGGAAACAGTATTAGAAAAACTTTTCATTTCCTACTATTCTTATTTGATAAATTTCTGCAAGTCATCAATAGGATTATCTACAACAGGTTAAAACCTACAAGTTCCAGTTACTTCAGAATAATGTAAAGCTTTGTCAAGTCCCTAAATATTCAAAAGCAAATATCATGTGACTTAATGAAACTTTAGGGATGGTGAAATAAATATCTTCATCATCCAAAAAGTCATAAATGCTCAGAGCAGTTTTGAGGATATGACCATTACAGAATTATCTCCACTAGAGGTCTCTAGAGAAATACAAGTAACAATATTCAGAAATTAGCAGGTACTTTACACTTTTCTTCTTGATACTGCTCAAATTTTGTGGAAGATAAAAATCCATACTTACTTTGTACTTGTCCTTATTTCTGCTGTGTATAATAAAATGTCCTACTATTATTATTTCAATAATCATTAGAATACATTAGGTGTTTTAAAGCATTTTACAATCAGATGTTCAATATTACATGCCTTAGTGAAGTACTATATTGTGATTTAATATCTTATGTTGTGATTGTATCCGTGATTGCACAAAGTATGTAGCCAAAGGAAGAAAAATCTTGGTGAGATACCCATCTTTCTAAATAGAGAGCAAAAAACAAACAAACAAACAAACAAAACCCAACATGTTATTATCACAAGTGAAAAAAGGAATTGGTTAGTAGAACAGTATCACAGAATCACAGAGAGTGATCGCATGGGGCTGGAAGAGACCTCTAGAGATCAACTAGTCCAACCCCCCTGCAAAGCAGTTCCTCTACAGCAGGCTGCACAGCTAGCCATATAGGTGGGTCTTGAACATCTCCAGAGAAGAAGACTCCACAACTCCCCTAGGCAGCCTGCCCAGTGCTCTGTCACCCTCACCATGAAGTTCTTATGCACATTTGTGCAGAAATTCCTATGCTTCAGTTTGTGGCCGTTTCCCCTTGTCCTATTGCCATGCACCACTGAAAGAAACCTCACCAGGGTATTTTAACTTTCAAATTAGATAATAATTATCCTGGTGTGCTAGCTAGCAAACTGTTATCTCACAGGCAAAAAGAGGGGCCTGGCATCATTTCTGATTTTATATCTGGACTAACATAAACATAGATACGGAATAGCATTCAGGTAGTTGGACTGTTTTTTGTTGTTTGTTTGTTTTTTTTTATCTTGATGGTTTTTGTTCCCCATAAGTTTGATCTGACTGTGCAGCTTTCAATTCTTTGAGGATTTTCAAAATATACATATCCAGCTGAAGATGAGCTTTTTCCATTCTAGGTACTGTGCATTTTTTGTGCCACTCAACAAATTATTCAGATTTTTCAGTAAGTTAAGACAGGTAATTATTATTATTTTTCTCCTCGTGCTATTTTATTTCCATGAACTGCATGTCTGTATTAACTCGTTTTTAGCTACAATCTGCTGCATTAAATAGAATGATGTCACTAAGTTTGCTACAAGGTTTAATGCTGATTACCCCTTAATCTGGTAATATTTGCACACTTTTTCACCATTTTCTGTGCTGTCCTATCATCTCTGCCACCATATGTAATATTAGGTTTGACATGTAGCAATCTCTCAAACTTTCTTACATATTTCAAAATTGAAAACGGCATTTTTTCTTTTTTTTAAATATTAATATGCATTCCTTATGTGGAAATAGAAACATGAATGGTTTTAGGGTTAGTGCCTGCCCAGTTCCTATCTGAATCAAAGAAAAGTGGTGACAGAGACGATAATATTAATAACTACCAGTTTAAGAATTAAAGCCTTATTTACATGGGCACTCACTATAAACCTCAGAGAGAGAATTACATTAACAAATGGTGTTCTCTGGTGATATGAAACTGGTTCACCAATCAGAAAGCTGGAATATTTTGGAAATACTTGTCCTCTTTAGGTTGTTCTCTCTTTAATCATACATAGATTCATTTGAGGGCTTCTCCAAGAGTAACAACTCCTGTTTTATTATGTCAGCTCACAACATCACAGGTGGATAGTGGTGGTATGGCATTAGAGGTGAAACCTTCCCACCAACATCCTGTTACATGTTGTTACCGTGCAATAGATGGCAGCAGAGTGGCACTCTGACAGAATGGTTTCTGACATGGAAGTGTCAGAAGCAATGGTGTGTCATTTAATCCCTCCATGTGGAAAAAATTGCACCCAATGATATTCATCAATGCTCATTGAACATTTATAAAGACCAAACACTGGATGTGAGCACAGTGAGGTGGCAACTGGAAAAACAAGACACATTCCAGATGACCATACACAGTTGTCACACTACAAAAAGCAAAGCATTTAAATCAGTTCATCCATGCAAATCCACTAACGAAAAATAACATTTTGTAGTTCAGAATTTGTCCTATCAAACAGTGTTATTGTGCTCTTTGTATCTGTCGTAATTTCCATGGGAATACATAGGAGACATTACTTTCAGAGATAGCTATGATTCTCAGAGCATGCAGTAGCATTACTTTCTACTCATTTTTGACGCTACATGGACGAATGTAGAAGAGAAGTATATATGAGCTGTGCTGAGAGGTGAGAGACTCAAGAGGGAGACATTTCTGGGGAGAGAAGACAGGTGACAGGAACAATGCTGTCACTTTCAAAAGTTTCTTGTATTACTTTAAGAGAACATCTTTTAACTTTTCACCTGTAGAACAAGAACTGCAATGAGTAACCAACTGAGGCCTACTACCAGCTCTAAATGTCAGAGCTAGGCATCCAGGAGGTGATATTTCTCACAGTATTTCTTGCTGCAAAGACCAGATAAAGAGCTCTAAGAGGAACAGAAGTAGCACAGCAGTGACATTCTCTTAAAACTTGTAATTCTATGTTGACCCGTCACCTCTGTGAGTTGATCTGAAGATGGTGATTCAGCAAGACTGTGAATTCACACACAGCTGATACTGCCTTCAGCAACTTGAGTCATTTATAGGCTGCAGTAGTAAAAAGTCTTTTTACCATTTAACCATTTAACCAAATGGTACCTGTTCTTAACTTTAGAAGACATGAAGTGCCATGGTGATATCCTAGATCACTAAATGTCTGTGTATTATGCCTTGTAATAATATTTACCTATCTACAAAGAAAATAGCCAGTGTCTCCAGCCTCTGCTCTTTGTTCCATTTGTCTGTGTTCTGTAATGAGAAGTTCCCTCAGCTATGTCAGTCCAAAACTGCATCCATTTCTACTTATCTATATTATTATTTTCCCTGTTTTGGAGGAATAATCTACAGCAAAGTTCTGTTATTAAAACTGACATATTTTCATGCAGATCCAAAATGACAAATATACCTTGAAACTGAATTAACATGTGAACCCTTTTATAAAATTGCAGATTTTTTTTTCTCAACATTAAAATTGTAAACTCATGGACTGCAGTCCAAACACTGACTGTCCCTTAAGACTGCCCCTTTGCTGGGTTTTTCAGCCTGTCCTCAGCATTTCATGCTTCTGCCTCATATCCCTCATTTACAGCTCAGCATTACACTTTCCATCTGTTTCACTAGAGGCTCCCAACGATCAACTATTGGGTATAAGTAAGTATTTCTTCAAATTTTCAGCTATTCTGATTTCTGTGAGACTATGTGAGGTTCCAACTAAAAGCATTTTGCAATAATAAATGTTACTATTAGAATTAAAATACATATTTAAATAGTGTGTTTGATTGTTTTAACTGCTTCATAATCAGTATGTGTGTTAATATAGCCTTTTTTTTCTGAAGGCATAAATGCCATTTGTCAAGAGTATTGACAATAGATCATTGACTGGAACTTTCATCAACTTCACTAGTTAAACAATTCAGAGCTGATAACTATAAAGACACGGAAAACAGAAGAAAGCAGCAGGAAGAAACTTCATCTGGATTTGAACAGAGCCACACAGTGATCCCAACCTCTGGACGCTTTAGTGCTATAAATACCAAATCATAACTCAAAGTCTAAACTTCCCAAACTTTTGCTGTTGTGTCAGCAGAATAAAATGCTAAGCCTTCTGTAATGAGGAAGAAATTAGTCAATCAGGGATAAAAAAAGAACTGCTCATACGGTTAATGTATGATATTAATTTAGGTTACTGAAGTTGGCAGCCAAAGCTGCTACTCTAAGGAGGGTGGTACAAAGTTTCAGGTTGATTCCCTGGTTCCCTCCCACCACCTTCCAACATGTATATAAATTGTCAGCCCTCCAGAGCCTCTGCCAGTTCTCTCTTCTAGACTTGCCAGAAGCATCTGAGGACTAAAGATGAAGATCTTTTTACTATTCACCTTTTCCACATTTTTCTTGTCTGCTTTTGAACAAGCAGCTGCATATGCTCACTATGACAAGATTTTAACTCATAGTCGAATAAGGGCACGCGACCAAGGGTAAGTATGGGGGCTTTATTTGCATTTTAAAAGGGAATCGCTAAACAGTTACTCTTTTCTTTTCTTCTTGTGTTATATTAAATGTGTTTTTTTTGACTCTGTTTCCTATCATTCAAGAATTACTTTTGTTCTAAATTAGTTTTATAAGAACTAGATTCAAAGCTTTCAGGGGAGTTTCAAAGGGAGACAAAATAATGTAAAACTTCATAAAACCTGGAAATAATTAAATCCCCATTTCTCAATGAACAAAATGCATGCATTCTAGAATCACTGAACTTAATTACAGTTCATGAGGAATATAATGGGGCTTGGGATATGTTTAATACACATTTTCAAATGTTTGGATAGAACTGACACTTATTCCACACCATTTACTTGCTTTTTTCTGTTCTAATGAATAAATCATGAACTATTCTTTAATACTGTCTGACACTGGGAGCTCTTTGTAAAACTTTTGTTCCCACTGGAGTAGCAGCAACTTGCTCAGCAGGGCACCCCAGAGACAACACTCACAAGCCAGGCTGTTCAGAGATGCAGAACTTATTTGAACAGCTGGTGTCAGGGAAATGATGTATCTCAACATCATATCTCCCTTCAATCTTTTTTAGTAAAAAACTGTTCTGTAAAAAGAATTGTTCACCATCCTTTATTTAATTCTCTCTCCCCCTCCCTCCCTCTTTTCTTTTCCCTCTCACTCTCCCTCACTCATTCCCACTGTTGTAAAGCATATGTTCTAACTCTTGAACTGATGAACTTTTGTACAGTGAAATTATAGAAATTAGTGACAAAACACCTTTGCTCCATGGAATTTGCTCTCAGAAAATTCCTCTTCTGTACACTACCATGCTAAGTAAAAAGTTTTCCTTGTTTTAATTCTGCAATGTCTTTTATTTACATGCCAGTTTACCCTTTGGTCCCCAGTAATTCCCAGAATGTTTACTTAGGTGCCTGCAGTCCTCCAAATGGATGGTAATCAAAACAGCTGATTGATTTACTAGGGTTTCCTTCCACATAAAGAGCCAGTCACTGCTCTCCCCATCTCCCCGTGACCTTCAGCTGTACAGATGTGTTCAAGAAAAAGTTTTAATGAAAAAAGCCTGATGGTATTAGCAGCTAAGTCCCTGGTGGCTGGTAATTAATTCACTTCCCTGGAGGAAGGAAGAAATGTAAGACATATTGAGATGGAAGGTCAGGCCAGAGTGGAGGGGAATCATCTGTCCCCACCAGGAGGGTGGACTTGCCAAGGAACCCAGCTGGGTAGTCTTGGGAACGTGCATTGTGGTTACTTGAATGCACACCTGTCCTGGCAGCTAAAGACAGATGTTCATTTCTCATTTTTGCTCAACAGAATCTGTATATGCTGCTATGTTATATAGCACTTTTATAGATGAGTACAGACTTTTTTTTTTTAATGTTTCTCACTCCATCCGTAGCCCAAATGTCTGTGCCCTTCAGCAAGTTATGGGAACCAAAAAGAAATACTTCAGCACCTGCAGAAACTGGTACCAGGGATCCATCTGTGGAAAGAAAGCGTAAGTATCTGCTGTTCAAAACACCCATTGAAATAGGATAGCATTCAGTTAGAAAACTCTCCTCAGTGCGAAACGAAATACTTGCTTCAAATGCAGAAGCAGGAAGAATTAATTTCATAGTTTTACAGTGTTACAGCTTTCCTTTAATTAAAACCATCTGAATTCAGCAATTGCTGCCAAAAATAATCACAAAATGTGTGAAAATGATAGCATGGTATGTAATGCTTTTAAAGTTGAATGGGCTTCCAGGCATAAATTTCAGGAATATTTTTCTCAGTTAAGTTTATGTAGGTCTATTCTAAATACAAGGAGATACAAGGTTATGTGACCTACTCAGAAACACAGAGGGGCCTGAGGCCATTTGTGAAAAGAACTCTGCACACTAGCAGTTATGTACTCAGACCACACCTTTTCACAAAGAGAAAAAAAAATATTAAGAGCACAGAACAAGTCTGGATGAGTTTCACAATCTTTTGGAACCTGTATGTATCTCAGTTGTCCTGCTTTTCCAGAATACAAGCCAATGACTTTTCTGTGGGGAACAAAGCATCAACAGTATCAGAGTCAGTACCTCTGTATCAGTCACAAGAGTGGTTTCAGAGCAAGAATACATACAAAAACTCCAATCCAGAAATTGGTCTGCCCCAATTGTCATGTTTAAAATTGAATAATTTAACAATGTTTACCAAATGCAATGAACTAGTATTCTTTTTTAGTTGTACCACATTTTCTCCTGTTGATACACAATTAGTTGGATAACATTCTCAGCAGCTGTCACAAGAAATCACTGTTCTTGTTTCCCCATTAATTTTGTTTCCCCACTAATGATTTTTTGCACTGTTAAAATTAGTCTTGAATTTGTAGTCAGAAGTCAGACAAAGATCTGAAAAGGGCTTGTGTTGTGGTTTCCATTACTTCTCTTGGCTGTTACAGGCTTTGTGTTGTTAAGATTTCTACAAGATATTATATGTCATAACACGGTTTTGGAAAGGACCCTTAGGGAAAAGGATGAAGAAAGAGGTAGTGGGAGGAAGTTTTCTCCCATTTTTCATTGCTCTGCCAGCATACCATAAATTAATGGAACTGAGTTAAATATCCAGTACAGTGAGGCACAGATTCCAACACATAGTCTTTCCTTTCAAGTATAGGCATGGTTTTGAAGTCTGAATTCTAAAGTCAGCCTAGACCTGAGGAATGATACCATGTCCCTATCAGAGCTCAAGAAAAGATTATTTTCATGATCCTAGTTGTCACTCTAAGCTTTCTGCTGTTGTAAAATTTATCGATTAGTAATTACTTACTTCTTTAAGAAGATGGAAGAAAGTAAGACCATTGTGCTAGAGTGGAAATAGCACAAATTATAATTAACTTTCCAGACAGACAAGCAGTCTGATTATTCCAAATCTTCTGAAGTTCCTTCAGAACTTAATTTACTGACTTGAATCTCACTCAGTCCCTCTCTGCTTTATCTTGATTAAAAAAAAAAAAAAAGTAATTCTAGACAGGTTAAAATCCATTTTTTTTGTACTAAATATTGAGGAGGTTTGGGCAATTGATGATTATATCATAGTGATCAGTTTGCAGTCAAACAAGACTGTGTGATCATTTGCCCCATCTGTGCCTTCAGATTTTTAGTATTCATAGGTTTATAGTCTTTATCAGAATCCTTCCTGCTCCTCCAGGTGGCGTTATAATACAGACTTCCTTCTGTGGTCATGCCACAAGTCATCCAAAATATTTCACCTTTTGAGAAAAATCTGCCATACCACTAACTTCTTTGGCACTACATTTTATTCCACTACAGACACATTAGGAAGAAGGATATTTCCTGAAAATGAAATTTGGACATTCTCAAGTCGGTTTTGGAAAACAAATTACTTCTGTGGTTTTATTCCTAGATAGATGTCACGTTCCTGTGAGCAAAAGTCTGCTCTCTGCACAAATATGAAAAGGAACACATTGCTTTGTGGAGCTCCAGAAGTAAAATGAGTTGTTCAGTGAGAAATGTGTTTCTTCTAATGTGTCAGGAAAAGTCATTTGAAGCAATAGGCAGTTTGGGCTCAATGAAATTATACATGACGTTATTCCCTTTTCTGACAAAGCTGAAAAACATATCACAGAGTCTTTGTTAGGCCCTAAGCAAGAAACCCACTACAGCCAACCAGTAGAAGAGACTGAGCAGCAGCAGGTAGAATTTGACTGAGAAACACAAAAGTATCTCTTTTAACACTCCTACCATTCTACAGGCACTTACACAGAAAAGCTAGAGGAGAAAACGGTGTATATGAGATTAAGAAGAGTCATGGACTTTTTTGTAGTTGTAACTGAGCATCTGTTAAAACTTAATCTTAGCTCTTATTGGGGGTTATATTCTCTATACTCACAGAATATTAATGTGTGAAATATGATGTGAATCCATTACTAAAGAGGTTATTTTATTAGGAATGTTAATCCAAAGGACAATGGCTCTTCTCATGTTAATATCTCTGTGTTAATAAGTCCTTCATAACTTGCATATAGTTTCTATAAAATGTTAATTTAAGGAAGTTTCTTATGTTTACTTTTCCTGCACACTCCTGTAAATTTCCAGTTGGGATACAAGCTAAAGATTTGCTAAAATCAAAGTCTTTTGGTCCAAAAGTGTTCCACTGTTTTTATACAGTATTTTATCTCCATGCCAGCAAGGAATAGAAACAGATGAGTCACAGAGCTGATCTGAATAAGTTGAATACCTCTCTGTTAACGAAGAATAACAAGAATATATGGTAGTCTAAATCAGTTCTCTTTTCCTTGGAATATATTGCCTTAGTACTAAAAAATACATGCAAAAAAATTCATTTAGACACATCTTACACTAGCAGGGTCATACAGCTGGGGATGACTTTACTGTGCGAGTTGGAACGATCATGTGTCTGTAAGTGAGTGGTATTGAAAAATAGCATCTTGCATCAGGTTTTATAGCTGATTCTAATGTTATTTTTGGATCCTCTTTATGGACCACTTTTCTCTCATTCCATCCTTCTCACTACATCTTGAGCACAACTGATTCATAGTCCATTTTGTGGTCAACCATAAGGGCATATGAATATTGTAAAACAAACAAACAATAAAAAAAAAGAACTTAGTAACTCTCAGTGATTGAAAAAAGTGCTTTTTTCATAACAAGTTACATGGTAAAAGAGGCACTGATCTTGTAATCCTTGGCTGAAGAAACAACTTTCTTAACTAAGTTTTTCATTCAGTTTTCTGCTTTTCATTAATTGTGTCACTGTTGGTGGTTATGGTAAGAACACTAAACTTCCAATGCCTTATGCTATACTTACAACTCAACTTCTTTTTTTCTTTCTCCAAAACCTAATTAAGATTGCAGTCTCTCATAGTTGCTCAAAGGGTGAGGGAGATACATATATATTTTTTCCTGTGGAAATAAAGAACTACTCATGATGAAGCAGTTCACACAGTTGGGCTAATATTCTGACTTTTGTTGCACAAGTCAGATGACTTGTTTTATTAGCTACTGGTAAGGATACAACTGGTAGGAAGGTGAAAGGTTATAAGTTTAATTTCCTTATTAGTTAGAAAATCTGTAGCCTAAACTCTCTGTTCATCTTGCATTTCCAGGAAATAGCCATTCAGCAAATTGCCTCACAGAATGAAATACGTGAAAAAGAACTGTACAAAATTTTGAATATATGGCTCATTTGCTGAAAAGAGGCACATGCCAGAAAGGTGGAAACATGATGTGTGTATCTGTATATGACAGAATGGAATTACATATTTCCTTAGCACAGAGAAATGAAATGTGTGCTTTTTTTTGTTGTTGTTTGTTTGTTTTAATCTTAAATATTGAACATCCATATCAGACTGTTGTAAATCATGGAATTCCAATCCTACCTTTATAAATCACTGTTTGTAACACTATTGCTCTTCCAGTCTGCGTTCATTTTTAAAATCTCTTCAAGTAGATTAAATAGTGATGCTTTTGAGTCCAACTCCTCATTTGAGTAAGTTGTACAGTTAGATATTTTTGCGATCAGTGTTTGTCAGCTCTAGCTTGTGAAAAATGAGAGAAGCCTGCCTATTCAACAGCTGCTGAAGAGTCTACAGTCTAAAAGCTGGAATACTGTGGTAAAAATCTTCAAGGAAATCCTGTTCAGAACTCTTTAGCTGCCAAGATCAGCCACGGGTATAAAAATAATACTACTAGTAAGATCTTCATTGCCATCCACAGCAGATCATAATTTGAAAAGAAATATCTGAAGTCTGCAAGTTTAAAATACACTTTAGATCTTGGTAAGATTATACAATTTATTGTCATTCCTTGTATGGAAGAGCCAGAATCAATACATAACCTTGTGGGTTTTTTTTGCAAGCTTGCACTAACTTAGAAGAGAATTTGTCACGAAAGTCTACGGTAGGTCTTTTCTTTCTGTCATATTAATTAAAAGGACATTATATTCCATTAGGCATTCGGTACAAAATTGAATGTTACACTACAGAATTACCAGTTAGCCCTGGTTTGCTGCTACATATAGATTATGCATGTTCAAGAAAGGGAGTATTTTACTGACATCTCTCCTGGTCTGGTTCCTGGTATGCTCTATTATTAAACTGTATGTATGCTTTGCTGACATACTCTTTTAACTCTGTGCTTGATTTGTTACAATCTGGTTTTCATCCTTGCTATATTTACCAAGGAACCTCATGTCCAACTATCCTTTCTTTAGTGACTCTGTTTTCTACAACCTGCTTTATATCTGTACTTAATTAATTATCTCCCTCATTCCTGAGCTTCTTCAAAGTCTTCTTGGTACACTGAGGCTCTGCTCCCGATTTATTTCACCATACAATCCCAAAGATCTTCTCCGAAGTATCCATTAACTTTCTACATCCAGACTGTAGGTTACCTCAAGCGGTTTTGTCATTTAAATTTACATTGTTTAATTTTTTCCCTTTGGACACTATTGCTACCTGTTCCTCTCACTATCCCCACTGTGTTCATTTTTGCCTTCCCTCAATCCCAGCTAATCTTTTCAAAATAGACTCATCAAATTTGTTTTCTTCTGTTGCTATTCTGTTTACACCATCTTTTCATAACTCTGCAGTCATTCATGTGGTTTTTTTTCTATCAGTTAAGCTTAATGACTACATTTAGTAAAACAACAACCAATTTGTAATATATACAGAATAGGTTGAATGATAAAAAGGGCAAAAAGATTAGGAGAAAGTGTACTTTGCAATGTGAAATTAATAATGAAAGAAATGGGGCTGCGAACTAAAGTTGATATACAATTGTTTTTCATATGTTCTACAGAACTGTCTTGTATGAATGCTGTCCTGGCTATATGAAGATGGATGGTATGAGAGGATGTCCTGCAGGTACTAGTTTATTTTCATATGGATGAGTCAGTACATGAGAAACACTACAAAAAGTGAGACTTTCAAATGTTGTCAGCTTGAGGAAACATTACCTCTTTTTACAAATTACTGTCTGAGAATGCGAAGTTTCATTTGTACGTGATCAGTACAGTTGGAAATCAGCCTGCACTGAATTTGATCCTGCAGTTTAAGTTAAATTCTCCAACTGATTCCAGCTACTGGATTGGAGAGAAGTGATAGAATTCTCTTTTTCCAAAACAGCTGAAAGAGAACCTCTATTTCTGTTCGCCTCTCACTCCAGAGTAACCCATAGCACCCAGAGATCAGAAACCTAGGGCATGAAACACATTTCATTGAACAGAACATTGAAGTTCTGTTTACTCATTTTCATGAGAAGACTTGAATCTTGCTAACTAAGAAGCTGTAGATAAACTAAGGAGTGAAAATGAAGGCAGAGATTAATTTATCCTATTTGTGCTGTTTTGCAAAAATAAACCTAATTGCAACGAGGAAGGATAATTTGAGATGGCATATATTTCATCACTTTATAACCCTCTATTTGAGCTCATCTTTTACATTCTGTTAAGCATATCTTAAGGCAGAGTTCGTCTTGTTTAGGTGTATTCATTTCACTTTGGATGTTTACATTAGAATGAGATAGGGCATACTTCAAAAGACCCTGTCTTCTCTACAGCTGTAAAAGTAGCTTGGGGCAGCTAGCTCATGTGTCAATACCTGAACTGTGGATTCCTAGAATTAGGAGATCTGCATCTTATTCTCATATAGCAGAGTTTTGATTGCGAGATTATGGTGATTGTTGCTCTCTGAATCAATCTCTACACATGCCAACCACCGGAAGAGGCCTCACAGGAATAAATCTGGTTGATGGTGCCCAAACGTGACCCGCGTTAGCAATTTTTGAGATTGTAGATAAGATTGACTCATATCCTCTCTCAAACGTCCCAAATGGATAGTCTCCCATTCCATATGAGGCTTGGAACAAAACATTTTTTTTAAAGAAAACATTATAATATCTAGTTTTGTTTGATCTATTTTTTCAGCTCATTAAACAAACTGTAAAATAAATAACAAGCAGATGTGTTTGGATGAATTCAAAATACACTGACAGTGGCATTTTAATTCAAGCATGTTGTTTTAATATTGATTTAAACAGTTTCATAAAGGCAATACACTTGTCCAAACAAAAGAAATAAATTGGACTTAGTTGTGAGAAACTGGCTGAAGTATTTACAGTATTTTTGTATGATGTTGATTTTAGTTGCTCCTATTGATCATGTATATGGTACTCTTGGTATTGTGGGAGCTACCTCCACTCAGCAGTACTCCGACATGTCAAAGCTGAGAGAAGAGATCGAAGGAAGAGGTTCATTCACTTTCTTTGCACCAAGTAACGAAGCGTGGGAGCAATTAAGTTCGGTAAGCATTTGTGTGTATTTATGTATGTACATATTTCTCTTTCAGGTAATGTTTTAGCTAATAAACTAACAATAACTAGCTTATTATAGCCTAGATGGCAAACAGTAATAAGATTTTAGGTATAAGCAGACATCAGACAAGTTATTATTATTATAAACAGGTACATTATAAGAATGTACCTGTTTATTGTACATTACTGACGCTAGACAATCTGAATTTATTTTCAGGTATGCTAAATAGCAATGTTCCTTACTTAAGCACTTTCATGTCATATTTTAATATTGCTAGTTTTCATATAATTTTAGGTAACCAAAAGGAATTCCAGCAATTGCATAATGTAGAGTACAATTGTGTTTTGTCAGTGACTCACATGTCCTCCTTTTAGTAATGCTTTTAGTTAAAATAAATATTGAACTAAAGTACCTTCAGTGATTTGCCTATGATGAGATTTGTTGTCTTCAATTTGTAATCAAATTAGTCTAAAGCAGCATCTGAACAAAGCCAGATAGCTAAGTACGAAAATCATGTGTTTCCTAACTGGAAGTAACTGTCAATTTTTTCATAGTATATGTAAAGATAAAGCAACATGTGCATTTTTCTAACTTAAAAATGCTCCTGACATTTCAAATTAATTAATTTCCTTTCTTCTTCAGGAAATTCACAGGAATTTAATTGACAATGTAAATATCGAACTATACAATGCTCTCCACCACCACATGGTAAACAAGCGCATGTTGACAAAAGATCTTAAGAATGGCATGACACTGGTATCCATGTATAATGGCCAGAAATTGCTTATTAACCATTATCCTAATGGGGTAAGTCTATAGATAAGACTTCTATAATATAATAATGTAATTTTAACCACTGATATTTCTTTTATCTATTTGCTTTGCGGTAGAATGAACTAATGGAAAGATTAGTAGCTAGCAATTCAGTTGTCACTGATAAAAATAAATTTTATCTTGAACAAATTCAGCTTTCTTTGCCAGCTGATCACCAAGAATTAATGAATATGTACAGTTTGCTGTTTAAATGTCAACGTTCTGATGAGAATGAACTTCTTTCCTAAAAATCAAGCCTTTGGTGGCCAAAATATAGCATCATAGAATCATTGAATGGCCTGGGTTGAAAAGGACCACAAAGATCATCTATTTTCAACCCCCTGCTATGTGCAGGGCTACCAACCACCAGACCAGGCTGCCCAGAGCCTAGGCATCATAATAAATCCAAGAGCAAAAACCTGCTATTAATCTTTATGTACTTACAAAATGCTATTAAATCATGTCTTTTAATTAGATCGGATTGTTTATTTGAACTGGGGGGCATGGTAGAAATATTTAATGTTGCAGTGTGCAGACATCCATTACTTTCTAGAAATAATTTTATTTTCATAAATGCTAAAATCTTCCAGTCATGTCACTTGTCCCTGCCTCAAATGCATGAAAATATTAATGTTGGACATCAGTTTATATCAGTTATATATATATGGCAAATAAAACATGAATAGGAAATCAACGTAGCCTGCATTAGTCAGCTGTTAGCCGAATGCTTTCCAGAAGAGTTGAGTCAGCCTTTTAAATCTTGCACCGTTTTACTTAATGTTTTAAAAAGACTGAAAGGACAAACACATTTTTCAGAGTACATAGACTGCCATTCCCTAAAAATCAGATTCCAGGCATATGATCAAATGAATAAGCATTAATTTTTTACTACTTGATTCCTCATACATAGGTTGTTACTGTTAACTGTGCCAGGATCATCCATGGCAACCAGATTGCTACCAATGGTGTTGTTCATGTAATTGACCGTGTCCTAACCGCTGTTGGAAATACCATTCAAGATTTCATTGAAGTTGAGGATGATCTTTCATCTCTCAGAGTAAGTGGAAAAAATAAGAAACATTCTGGTCTCGTAGTTTCTTTTTTTTTTTCTTTTCTATTTGTGTATTATGCCTGTAGGTATGAAAGGTTAATTTGTAAAAGACAAACACGAAATCAAACAAAGTGACTCACTGTGTGCTAAATTAAGGAGGTAACTTTTCATACCAAGGCATATTTTACCCACATAATTAATTTTGTATTCCATTTTGTCATTTCACTTTTAACACATTTCTGTAACACAGAACACAATCTCACATTAAATACCCCTAATCACTAGGTGAATGCACAAGAGATATTTTGTGTTAAATGCTGTCTGTCAACCTTCATGAGCAATTCCAACTTTCAGTGTAAATTCAACATTACTTTTGAAGAATAAGATTTTACTTCAGAATCTAGGGGTCAAAATATGTTAGCTTTTAGTTAATATTCTGTTTTCCTGTGACTAGATGGCTAAGCTATTTGGGAAATGCTTTAAATAACCAGCATTAATAACCAATTTTATTTTTCAGGCTGCTGCCATCACATCAGACGTCTTAGATACTCTTGGAAGGCCTGGTTATTACACACTCTTTGCTCCTACTAATGAAGCTTTTGAGCGTCTTCCAAGAGGTGTCTTAGAAAGAATCATGGGTGACAAGGTGGCTTCTGAAGGTATGTAAACTTTTCTTGCAGAAGAGAAATTCTTGGTTTATGGCAATTAGTGCTCCTTAAAAATCTGATGGCCTTTTAGGATGCAGTGATGACAAAGGTTGCAACTGATGTCATCTACTTGGACTTGTGCAAGGCCTTTGACACGGTACCTTACTACATCCTTTCCTCAAAATTGGAGAGATATGGATTTGAACAGTGGACAATTCGGTGGATAAAAATTTGGTTGGATGGTTGCAGACAAAGAGTTGTGGTCAATAACTCTATATTCATGTGGAGACTGGTGACTAGTAGTGTCCCCCACAAATCTGTCTTGGGACTGGTGCTCTTTAACATCTTTGTCAATGACATAGACAATGGGGTGGAGTTTGGAGATGTCATGAGGGTGAGTGGTGCAGCTGATACAATAAAAGAAAGGGACTCCATCCAGAGGGACCAAGACAGGCTTGAAAAGTGGGTCCATGTGAACAGAATGAGGTTCAGCAAGGCCAAGTGCAAACTGTTACACTTGGGTTAGGGCAATCACAAATACGTGTACAGACTCCTTGAGAGTAACCTTGCAGAGAAGGACTTGGGAATCCTGGTGAATGAAAAGATGGACAAGAGCCAGCAGGGTGCTCTTGTAGCTCAGAAAGCCTACGATATCCTGGGCTTCATCATAAGAGAGGTAGCCCATCTATTCTGCACTTGTGAGGCCCCATTTGGAGTTCTGCTTCCAAGCCTCGGGCCCTCAGTACAAGAGCGTGTGTAGCTGTTGGAGTGAGTCCAGAGGAGGGCCACAAAAAAGATAAAATGGCTGGAACACCTCTTCTATGAAGAAACTGAGGGATTGGGGCTTGTTTAGATTGGAGAAAAGAATGCTCAAGGGAGACATCACTGCAGTCTTCCAGTACTTGAAGGGAGCCTAAAAGCAGGAGGGGGACTGACTTTTACATGGTCATATAGGGATAGAACCAGGGGGAATGGCTTTCAACTGAAAGAGGGGAAATTTAGGTTAGATGTTAGGAAAAAAAATTACTCAGAGGGCTGTGAGGTGCTGGCTCAGGCTGCTGAGAAATGTGGATGCCCCATCCCTTGAGGTATTCGAGACCAGGTTGAACCCTGGGCAGCCTGATCTGATGGCCGGCAATCCTGCCCATGACAGGGTTGGAACTGGATAGTCTTTAAGGTTCCCTCCAACCTAAGCCATTCTATGATGTATGAATCTGTATATCCAAACATTGTTTACAAAGTTTTTTCTTTTCCCTCCAGCTCTTGTGAAGTTCCATATTTTAAATACTCTTCAGTGCTCTGAAGCGATCATGGGTGGAGCTGTCTATGAGACCTTAGAAGGAAACACAGTTGAAGTTGGCTGTGATGGTGAAACTCTTACTGTGAATGGAGTAAAGATGGTGAAACGCAAAGATATTGTGACGAGCAATGGTGTTATCCACCTCATTGATAGAGTGCTAATTCCTGATTCTGGTTAGTAATGTGCATGACAAATTTATTAAATTGAAGATTTCCTCTCATCCCACCTAGATTCCTTCACATGCATTGTTGTTGATAAGGTTATGGAAGCATGAAAAATGCAATTAAGGAAAAGAAGAAAAAAAACCCAGAATGTTTTTAAATGTCTCTTCTTTCTCCTTTATTTGCAGCCAAACAAGTCATTGAGCTTGGAGGTGCCCAGCAGACTACTTTTACAGACCTGGTGACACAACTAGGATTAGCATCTTCTCTAAGACCAGAAGGCCAATACACTCTGCTGGTACCACAGAATCGTGCTTTCTCAGGTTAGTAGCCTTTAAAGATTATTATCTGAACTTTGAAATAAACAAGAAGGATGTATGATACTCTGGCAGTCTTCCAAATAACTGCCACTACTTGTTCTACATCCCAAGGAAAGACAGTAATTAAGAATTAGAAATACTTTCGCCTTCCAAAATGAACGCCATATGGAAAGACAAAATAAATGTAACCATTAGGCTGCACAGCATTTTCAGTGGTAGCATTTGTTAACTGAAATAATATCTCTAAGATACAAAACATGCACAGATATGTAAGGGGAAAGCAATGATATTAATGAACTTGCACATTACTCTTAACTTGTGCATTACTTACATTAGATGAGTTAGTTATACTCCCAAAAATTATTAAAGGAGATTGGTGTTTTATGGTCTATTAAAACACAGAGAAACTGATAGAAATGTGCTTTAAAACATGTTCACTTATTAGCAGGAAAGACCACATGAAGATCCTATCCCTTCCTTCATCCCCAGAGAAATTTGGGAAGGATTTCAGGTGTACATTCAGAAAGCAAAATTTGGAATAAGTTCATTCAGCTGGCACACAAAAATCATCAGCCACTTTGTTTAGAGTAGTTAATTGTGATTGTGTCAAAATGTTATTTCTAAATTTGAGAAAGAATAATTTACAGAAAATGTTTAAGAATTCATTTTCTATTTACACATATTTTTCCAAGTCTTAAATTACAAGCATTTCAAGTAAAGATTCAATATTTTCATGGTGATGATGCAGATGTCCACAATTAAACTTGCTTGAATGAAAGTTCACTATGTAAATAACTATAATTTATTACTTATTTGGTGTTGTAGATGATACTTTACAGATGGATCAACGACTTCTTAAAACAATCCTGCAGAATCACATTATAAAAGTGAAAATTGGGCTCAATGAACTATACAATGGACAAGAGCTGGAGACAATTGGTGGAAAGCTGCTAAGAGTCTTTGTGTATCGCACAGTAAGTGAATGGAACTTTCTAACAATATGCATCCTGACTGAAAAGGAAAATGTATGAAAGAATAAAAAAACAAAGCTGAATTAAAATGACAATATCTACAATTATCACTATTAAGAAATAAAAAGTTAAGCTTTCAAACCAGGAAAAAAAATGAGAACTAAGTCTTTGGGGGAGTTTTGCATAAACTATACTCTTTTGGAAAAATGAAACAAATTCAGGATCTGGCATTCAGTTATAAATTTATAAAACTAATTTTTTATAACTAAGTAACAAAATCCTCAAAGGAAACAAACAAACAAAAAAATTAAGTTTGGAAACATTTGCATTCTGTTAACTTACTCCAGATTTTGTTACTTTTGCTTTCTCAAACAATAGCAGATTTTCTGGCAAGACAATTCAGTATGATATTTGGAAATCCAGATGAAAATTAATTTTAATCTTAGCAGCCAGTTGGGAAATACACAACAATTGTATTTATTAAATATTAAATGTTCTAATTTAATATTTAAATGTTCTTAGAGTAGGTACGTTTGAAACTATCATTTTTCTTTTAATCAGGCTGTATGTGTTGAAAATTCATGCATGGTCAGAGGAAGTAAAGAAGGAAGGAATGGCTTTATTCACGTCTTTAGACAAATCATCAAGCCAGCAGAAAAATCTTTGCATGAAATGCTGAGAAATGATAAGCGTTTTAGGTGAGTCGCATCTTGACAGCGCTGAGGTTTGGGTACAGACTGTAGCAAAATTTACAGCACAGCTGGACTGAGAAATAGTTGTGAACCATGGGTTTCTGGATATTTGGGGTGCAAAGAGGGCAGGAAAGAGGTGATTACCTCCTTAAAAACAGTTCCTTACTGCAAAATAGGCAAGAGAGGAGCAAGAGGGTAAAAGGGACTGGATGACACACTGAAAGCTATAAATGTAGCAGAGTCTGAAGGTTTAGTTAACCAGTGATACAATCCCATATTGGTGCAGAATGATCAGAGACTCATACATTCCCAGTCTATATTTCCCTTCCCATCTTCAGAAATCTTGATCCTCCAGACAGCAACTGCCTTCAGAGAGCAATTCTAATCCTCCCTGCATGTCTTTGATCTGCAGATTTTTTTATTCCCTCAACTCTGCTCTGATCCGGATTGACAATATTTTTACTTTTCAAAGCCTCATTTTTTTTGTCCACCACTGTCTTTATTCTAGGGAAATAGTGGGAGTGTTTGAAAACTGATGATCTCTCAGAATAAATGAAAGAACTAAGTGCCCAGACCTAAGTATAGTTACTACACTTCAAAATAACGTATTTGTGATTTGTTTGTTCGTTTTAAACAGTGTTTTCCTCAGTCTGGTGAAAGCTGCAGATTTAGATGATGTTCTGTCACGGCCTGGAGCATGGACTCTGTTTGTTCCAACTAATGATGCCTTTAAAGGTTTGACTGATGACGATAAGGCTGTATTGATAAGTAAGTAACAGAAGAAAACTACAAGTGTAAGCAATTATGGAAAAATTATTGGGAAAAATAGCTAGTGTATTTCTAGACATAAGATGTCTGATAAAGCAGATAACCTTTTGCATAAACAAGTCACGGGACTCTTCCCTAAATTAATTCTTTCTTCAGTGACAGAGAAAATATCTTATAGGGAAAAAACATTCAACATCAACTAAAATTTGTCCTCATTTGTTGACATATTTTAGTTTATATGAGGAAATGTGAATTTGGCTTGCTGTACTAGTGTGGGAATAACAGTTGCCCTGAATTCAACATCCAGAAGAGCAGCCACATTTTCTGCTCCTGTACTTTTCAAGTCAAGGTTCAAAGACTTGAAACAAAATCCCATGAATCCTTAATGACTTCTGAGAGTCCAGCTTAGAGCACTGATAAGTAACTGCCCTAGCATAACCCAGCTCTGTGCAGCCATTAACTCACTAATGAGGCATTGTAAATTTGAATTCCCTCTTAGTCATTTAAAATTATGACTGTGTTATAAATTACCTTCTGGTGTAGAGTGTGTTTAGTGATAAACAGTAAATTAACAGGTAACCTAAATGAATATCATTAGAGAGCCATAAAATCAAAAGAAGTTTGTCTCAGTGCTGTGAACTTAAGCAATTTGATAAACACTATGGTATGTTATGTTTTAAATCTGTCCTGCTTGGTCCTGTGGATATTCCTATAGCTCATCCTTTGATTCCATAGATGTGGAGCTCCAGGGGGCTGCCGTGATACTACCTTGGACTCCAGAATCCATTTCCTTTGCTAGTCTTGGGAATGTTGGCTTTTTTCTTTTCTTCCCAAATAGAAATGAAACCTATGAAATAAGGAAATCACCCCCAGAATGGGGTTGTTTTTCTCAACTTCTCTTCCTCTCACAGTATGTAAGACCAGCAAAGGATCATACTCCAGATGACATTCTTCTAGTCTGCCTGCAACTTTGTCCTGCCCGAGATAGAAAATATATGTGTGTATAGTGAGCTATGAGTTATCCCCATTCATCCCAGAAGGGTGTCACTTAAGAGAACATTTACATTTATTTCAGTGCCAACACTGTCAGATCTAGTTCCCTTTAATTGCAAGGGTGTTAAAGTAGCAGTTTATCTAGTATCTTGATGATACTTGATACTGTAGACTGCTTAGTGTTTCTGAATTTAATGTTTTTGTGGAGCATAATTAGAAAATCCCTTACTTGTATTTCTTATTTTTCAATTTAAATAGGAGACAAAAATGCTCTCAGGAACATTCTCCTTTACCACCTGACACAAGGAGTTTTCATTGGAAGTGGCTTTGAGCCTGGTGTGACAAACATCCTTAAAACTATCCAAGGAGGAAAACTGTACTTGAAAACAGTTAAGTCATGAAAAAGAAGTCTTTCTGATACAATCTTGTAATGGAGATTTGACATTCAATGTCTATATTTTGATATTGTGTGTGATATTTCTCAGAATGTAGCATTAAGGGGTTTGTTTTATTTTTTAATATCATCATTTCTGTTCTTTACCAGGTGAATGATACTCTTCTGGTTAATGAACTGAAGTCAAGAGAACCTGATCTCATGGCAACCAATGGTGTAATTCATGTTATTGATAAACTCCTATATCCAGCAGGTGAGTATTAGTTCATGGAATTTACATGCATTTCTGAATCTGTCTGTATCTTATGTAGGTGCAGTAACTGTAAAAAGTTACTTCCTTTAAGAAGCCAATTTCTGTGTGGAATACAAAACAGAAAATGTACATCACTGTTCATTCTATGCCTTTTCTGAAACCATGACAACTCTTTGAAATGTTATGAAAGTCTGGTATATGGAAGATATCTTGGGCTATCTTTCCCCCAGTACAGAAGAATGTGTATGTACACATACATGCTTTTGTGAATTAATGAAAATGCTTACATCCCCTGACTACTCCAAATGAAAATAAAACATATGCAGATGTGTCCTCTTACATGCCAATTTCTTCTTTTCAGATCTGCCTGTTGGAAATGATCAGTTGCTCACAATCCTGAAGAAGCTGATCAAGTATATTCAAATCAAGGTATTTTTATAATAATGTCCCCATTGTCCTTTTGGCTGGATCTGCAAAATCGCATTATCAGAAACAGTTCTTTGGCTCTGCTTCTTCAGAATGCAACCATAATAGTTGCTTCCAGTCTCCCGAGTGTAATCTTGAATGATACAATGCATACAACAGTTAGAAGTTATGTTTTTCATCACCAAGTAATTGCTGAATATTTGCACATAGGCAACTCCAGTGTGAACTGGCCCAAATCTGCTGTTTGCTTCAGCTTTATCACTACACCAGCATAGGTACATTCCAAGTCCTTAAGGCAACCTGTCTTTGAGAGAAATATCAAGCAGTTAAATAACTATGCCATTTAACTCATTAGCCTCAAATCCTATGGAGAAAAAATAGAGATCTGTCTTAAATATTCTCTTGAGGTAATGTTCACTTTCAGTCATGAATGAGAGGACGTAGTCAAATAGTATAGCCTGTCTTTTTGATCAGTTAACCAGCAATTTCTATGTACAATCTTTAGAAAATGGAAATGCAAGTGCTCTTCCGAACTTTAAAATTACTTTTCTGTATTTATAGTTTGTTCGTGACAGTACCTTCAAAGAGATTCCACTGACGTTTTACAGTAAGTTAATTTTATATATTAACAGATGGGTTTGAGATTGCTTTTTAATGTTACCAGTTTAAATCTGAATTGTAGATTTTACAATCAATAAGAAAGCAATTTCTGGCAAGATAAGGTTGGCCCATGAAGTCCAGGAAAAGAAAGACTCAAATGTTTTTGGCTACTGCATGTATTTGTATACATTTTTATCCCTTCCAAGATGACAGGGAAGAATCCCTGAACAAAACTGCTCGGACTCTTTGGAGCAGACAAGATACATACGGAATAGATTTTTTTTTTCCCCACTTTCTAGCTGAAGTTCAGTGCTTGTTGCACAGAAGTCATATGGCTTCAAAGACTCTCCAAGATGTAGCATTGACCAAACTCTACATTTGAGATGCTTTCATTTTCACAAATGCTTCCAGTGAGACAGAGTGTACCTTTTCCATTACATGCAAATATGAGTTTTTACAGAACCAGTTGCTTCAACCATTTCCTCTATGAGGAATAAATATGAAAAAGGAAACTTTCTTGCTCTCTCACAGCCTTTCTAAGGGTTTGCTTTTACTATCTGCACAGAAAGCATCATAGAAGCATAAAATCACGGAATATCTGAAGTTGGAAGGTACCCACACAGGAGCATTGAGTTCTGGCCTACACACAGCACTGCCTGAAATTCAAATCCTTTGTCTGAGAGCGTTGTCCAAACGTCTCCTGATCTTTGTCAGGCCTGGTGCTGTGCCCACAGCCCTGTGCAGGCTGTTCCATGCCCACCGCCCTGTGGTGCAGGCCCTTTCCCTCACCCCCAGCTGCCCTCCCCTGCCGCAGCTCCATGCCGTTCCCTCGGGTCCTGTCGCTGTCACACAGCGCAGAGCTCAGCGCTGCCCTCCACTCCCTGTGAGGAGCTGCAGCCGCCATCAGGCCTCCCCTCAGCTCCTCTGCTCTGGGCTGAGCAAATCAGAAGCCTCAGCTGTTCCTCATATGCTTCAGTTTGTATCAGAGTGTGAAGTTAGGCAGATTAAATTTCTGCAGGACTACCCACGTTTCTCAGTAGAAATGGAGAACATCACATTAGAGTTTGTAACTCTAGGATGAATATACAGAATTTTAAAGGCTTTTGGAACAACAACAAAAAAATGGAATATATATTTCACAACCATTGATAGTAGCACAAGAAGCCATGTCTATGAGCTGGAGCAAGGAACTTCAATGTCAAGCATTAAGAAAGTTGTTATAACTGTTGATTTAGTTGAACATGGCTGTGACCTCTAAAGTGAAGGTTTATAGAAATGGCTGTGAGTCAGATGATGATCTGTCAGCACTGTTTAATGAACACATGTCTGTTTTAGTTGTTTAGAGGGGCAAACTGATACCTATGAGTATCACGCTCTCTATTTTCTGTGAAATGCAAGAATAGTTCTCAATGTTAGAGGGTCTCCTCTGTTTACTAGTTGAGGTCTTTAAGGAAAAAAATGGGCAAGATTCAAATTTAAGATATGCCAGGAAATAGTATAAATTCTTATAAAGAGGATTGTATGGGACAGTACTATTATTTATCTTATCATCAAATATGTTATCATGGATTTCAAGACCAGTGGGTTTCATGAGGCACAAACAAAAGAAAATAGCACGTTAGAAGACTGTCTACAGTATATACCACCATTTAGTAAACAGAACTGAGATCCATACTCTGAGGCATTTCAAGTTAGTTTACCTTCTGTTAATATCTGTAACATTATTCACATCTTTATAACCAGATGATTACCATCAAGAATTATCATTTCCATTAAGAATGGAATGTGTTTTATGTTCCATTTTCTATACTTTCAGAAATTAACATAATTGAAAGCAACGTGCAGCCTATCATCACTAAGGAAGGTAAACGGGGCCTTCCAATATATATATCTGTGTATGTTCTAATATGTATACATATACAGAATATATATTGTATTTATTTATTTAACTGAATGTATTTTGTACTTAACAACTCCAGGTTGTTCAGTACTTTGCTGGAAAAGCAAAGATACAAATATTGTGATTAGAACTGGCTGAAGTGTTTTATATGAAAAGATTTCCCAGTTATTCTCCCCAGATGGATTTTTTTTTTTCCCCGTGGGCATTTAAAAAACACATTGTTGAATACAACATTTTTTAAAAAGCATGCCTTTTAAATGCCTTAATGTTACTCTACTTTTTGTAAGTATTACTATACTTAAAGTATAAAGAAAATTGGATTCTGCAGTTGAAACATTTTTAATGTTTTTGTATTAGTTATTTTAAAAGATACAAAAAAAAAAAAAAAAGGTACATTGAAGTACAACCAACTAACCAACATTAAAAGCAATAGTTAATTTCTTTACAGATTTCAGTCAGTTCTAAATACCAATATCTGTCAGATGCCTGGAAAAGACAGTTAGCCAAACTGTTTTTCTCAAATCAAAAGCATGTTTTAAAGAATAGATAAGTGATGTGACTGTAGAGAACAAAAAGTGGGGCTAGAACTATTAAAAACACTTGTAATTCATAGATTAAATAAAACATCCCTTAGTTTCACTAAACCAGTGACCATGCTTATTTGCTCCAGTTTCCTTCTGAAATGAAAATGCTCAAAAGGAATCTTGGTGGAGCTCAACTGAGAACAAAGGCAGTCAGAATATCTTGCAGAATGTTCATGCAAACTGATTAGCCATTGTTTCTGTGAAGACTCCTATCCACCAGAAGTGATGAGTTCGCTTGTTCTGTGTTTTGTCCCACCTAGCATTAGATACTGTCTTATATATTTATATATGTATATGCTAACGCATGTTTCCTAGTCTCTGTTATGAAATCAGAGCTACAGAGCAATAGAAACATGAAATTGATTCCATATATTGTAATTTTACCAAAATATTTTAGAGAACTTCTTAAGATGAAGGTGAATTACCTTCTGGAGGTACCTGCTCTTCTATATTAAATCCTAACCTAGAGTAGATAGTTTTGGCAACTTGAAAGATGAGGCAGTTTGAAAGATGAGGAAAAAAATAAGGAAAAAAATGAAACATCCAAGCACTTCTCTGCAAATGTATAACTAAGTGTTATTAACCAAAGAGGCATAAAATATTTTCACATGTTAGTGAGCATTGAACTGTCACTCCTTACCGCTGCCAGTACAGTATTCCTGCTTTGGGATACTATCCAAAGAATGATCTCTGGCCAACAGAATCTGCCTAATGATGACTCAGATGTAGTCCCAGGAGAGTCGGTTCAGGCCCTTTTTAGCTTGCTTGCAATAACAGCAATGAGTATGAGCTCCCATCACAACCACATATGCCCACAATTGTCTGTATAAAAAGTTGCACGTTAAATTTTGCAACATAAATCTGTAAGTTCCAGCAGAAAATTATGACAAGATTTCATTAAAAATATATATATATCAGTCATTTTACAGCCTGCCCTTTCCAACTTCCAATCTTAATGATTTCTGGTGGTGTTGTGAGTCACAGTCTCTACATAAAGAAGTTTGAAAGAGATCTCAGGAGTTAAGTCTGTTGAAAACCAGTCCTAACGAATTGATCCCAGCATCCTGTCATACAGTGGCACATTTTATCAATGTGGTCTCCAGGGATTTAACAAAATTAAGAGTTTACCAAATTATTTACTTTGGCCATTAATATCAAGATGACATCTCCCATGAATCTCAGAGGATGGTAGCTAGTCTTGCTGGCAAATACCTTTGCAGCCTGTCTGTTAATCTCTGAATTTCACCTTAATTTTTTTTTTTACACTGTATGACCACAGCTGAAGTCTGGCTAGGTTTAAAAAACAAAAACAACAAAAAAGAAATCAGCCATTCATAAATAAAGAAATAAACATTAAATAAACAATCTGAATTGATTAAAAGACCCAGTTTTTTCTTGGCTATCTGTACAGGTAGTAGGAAATAACACGATTAACATTTTTCTCTCTAGTCATTGCCAAGTTTTCAAGACTTTACATGCTGATGACTATCAAAGCAATAGCTGTAAGATTCTAGCAATATGTCAGAGTAGGTATTTTACCAATATGTATGGTTTCCTTCTGCTGCTGACAGTCCTTTTGCCCAAGTCTTGTCAACAGATATTAAAAATGCCCAATGCACAGAAGTAAAAGTATTTCTAAACAATAAATGTGCAGTAAGATCTAAATTTAAGGTAGTATGGGAGGAAGTGCAGGATTGTGCAGCCACTGCTGCAGATGGCTTCTCAGATTTAAAAAAGACTCTTTTATGGTCATCTGGCTTATTTAGGGTAGGAATGGTAATGATAGCTTAATCTCAGCCCTGGGGAATACTATGCATATTTTTATGGTTATTCATAACATGCTGTTTTTTCCTTATGTCACAGACCCATCTATTACACAGCTCACTAAAATAATTGAAGGAGAACCTGAATTCAAAATAGTCAGGGAGGGGGAGACAATAACTAAAGTGATTCATGGAGGTTGGTATGCTTTCAGCAATTCAATTTGTACTAGATAAAATTTGAAACATTATCTGTTCCCCATCAGTTTTTGTTTGGATGAAAATTATTCATGTTGGACAACTGACCAGTTTTTAAGGAGAATTACTGTATTGGATTGTATCATTTTATTCTTACCTCTCACACATTTCGAAAGTATTTTGTCTTTTTATCTGTCTAGCTGTAACTCATAGTTACAGCCAAGATAGTGTTAGAAATGCTCTGCATGCTGGCATGATACCTGCTTAAGTTTTAGGAACTATTTAGGATATAATTCTTGTATAGAAAGGCTTTGTCAGACAAAAAAATCAACTGTTTTTTTCCTGCTTTGCTAGGAACTTTGAGGATTTCATATCTAGGAGGGTTTCAAAGAAAATACCATGTGGCCATTCTACATCTGGGGGAAACTTAGTTCCTTAGTTCCTGGTCTACTGTGAGCAATCTGACATAAAAAAAAAAAAAAAAAAAGGTGCTATTGTAATTCCTAGTGTGCTTCATTAAGTTTCAGTTTCTCAAAAGCAGCACTTCAAACACTGCTCATCAGTTTATTGATATCTTCACTTTAAAAATCCTTGTAGAACCAATTATTAAAACATACACCAAAATCATTGATGGGCAACCTGTGGAAGTGACAGAGAAAAAAGTAACCGAAGAAAGAATTATTCAAGGTAACTCATGCTGAGCTGTTCAGTGAAGTTCTCTATCACATACAAAACTAACACTGCTTAAATCCTGTAGTAATGCCTAAATTGCATTTCCTGGAGAGCCAAATGTTATTCCTGCTACTTGTCACTGTGTATGCTCAAATTTTTTGTGTGTCTGCTACATAGACATAAACAGAAAGAAACATCTTGCATGCAAAAACACAGAAACTCATCTTTTCTCATTTTTCTTGGATTCTAACTACCATTTCAGGATGAGACTGTTATTCTGCATTTTTTTTTTAATCTATCTTATTTTTGGATTAATTTTTGGGGTATGCATGTATATGATTTTTTGAGTTATTTTTTATCTCCAGGTAGTCTTCATTTTGTCAGTGGTAGACCTTCAGTGTTTACTTTTGCATTTCATCTCAGGATTTCTTGACACTAATTTCAGAAATAATGATAATAATAATCCTTTGTTTCTCTGTGAGGGCAGTCTATATTTTTCGAACACCTACAAGGCAGACAATTGTTTTGTCCTAATGTAGACTAGAACTGATGAGCATCTTTTCCTTGATCTTTTCTAACTGTAAAAATTTCAATCTTTCCTTTATAAATTTCACTTACACTTGACCTACAGTGGAGATTTTATGTTTAGGAATTCTAGAATCTATACAGAAATTGAAATGAGTGGAGTGAGGCGTAGTGTATAGTATAGTATAAATTACTATATAGTATAGTATAATTATAGTATAAATTATTTGATAACTCATTTGATCCCCTTCGATAGATTCAGTTTTAACACCATAGCAAAAATACTGTTTGCATGAAAAGCTTCAAGGGAAAGACAGTGTTGCAGGAACATATTGATTTAGCAGAAGGTATTCAGATTGAGTTTATCTAGAAAAATTCAATTTAGTATGTCATTCAAGCAGGAGAGAAATAAGAAATAGGACAAGTTATTCTAATGCAACTATTCACATATAATGGAATTAAACAAAATTAAAAAACGAAAAAAAAAGGTATTTTTGAATATATCAGGCACTATTTCTCAAGACAGAATATTTCTGGAAAAGAAAATCATATTTTCTCGTTCCATTACAACAGTGGTCCCAGACCATTTTCCACTTTCCACTGAGGAAATACTGACCTTATACGGCAAAGTGATTAAAATTGTGCCTTTCTTCCAGATTGTGAGCAGATGTTTACTATGCTAAATTTGTTGAACTACTTGTCTGAATAGCTGTAAACTGTAGTTGTAACTCTCTTTCATTTCAGTTTGGGGCACAGTGAAGGATAAAACCACCATAGAAGCAGATTAAAACACATTAAAGATAGAATCATAGTGGGGGTTAAATAAGAAAAAGAAACAAAAACAAACAACAACAACAAAAAAAAACAAACAAACCAAGCTTTAATATTTATTAAAAATCTTAAACGTCAGTACTGTTATATATTACAATTAAAATCCCTGTTTTAAACATCTTTATTTCAGGTCCAGAAATAAAATATACCAGAATTACTGCAGGTAGTTCAGATAATGAAGAAAATTTAAAGAGACTGCTTGAGGAAGGTTAGTATCCTTATCTTTTTTTAAATAAGTAAATAAATAGAACACAAAAAGCCAGCACGATATTAGTTAAGTAATAACTGAATGTGTATTTTGTTTTCTTCAAATGTGCTGATACAACAAAATCAGAGATTAAGCCTCGGAAACTAAGCAATGTCCAAATCTGATCTCCTGTAATATATAGTAAGCTATACCTGTCATGAAAAATGGTGTTTCCAGTGTTTTGCATGGAGCGTAATATCATCACAGATGACATTTGTAATTCAGCAGAATTCTGTAACATGATACATTTGATTACATGCTGTTATATGATTGTCATGTATTTTCTGTCAATCAATTTTTTGCCATAACCTGTATCCTGTCAGAGGTTACCAAGGTGACCAAATTTATTGAAGGTGATGGTCATTTACTTGAAGATGAAGAAATCAAAAGACTTCTGCAGGGAGGTAATTCGGTGTATTACAACTAACCTTTTTGCAACAGGTTATGACAACTGAAACCTCTCTCAGATACGTTCAGCTCAACATTTTTTAAAGACTGACCTAACGGAAGTGAAATTTTAATTAAAAAAAAAAAAAGTGCAATGCTCTATGATTAAGTGCCAGATATCTGACAAAGTGCCAAATTTTGATTAAACAATTTTGATATGTTATCAATCACAAAAATATTTTCATTGTTTTCTCAGTCTTTAAAAAGCTGTCTAATAAAAACCTAGGAGAGCAATGAAGATTTATTCCACTAGCTGTGAACTTTTTTGATCAGCAGATTTAAATACGTGGAAAACGGTTATGAAATCCAAAGTATTGTAATTATTGTAATAGGCCAAATGTATCTTACTCATCAGTTATCCAGAAATGAATGTTCATTGCCCTCAAGTAAATAATCAAAGGCATGTTGATCATCCCTCTTTCAGTGCTTACAGGTGATGGATATCGAGGCATTAACTTTAATTCTTTTCAAATATAGCATTCCAAGGAATGGTTTTCTTTCCTTCTTGCTCTTCTGATTCTAACAGTCTTGGCAGTATATAATCAGTAGCTGTAGAAAACTGGTGAAAAAAACTTGTGCTTATGAAATTAATTCTTATCTATGAATTGGGAATGTTCTCTGCTTAATATATAGACTAAAATAACAATCTATAATAGCAATGGAGAATAAAACAGAGAATTCAAGTATTGTGTTTTTAGTGAAGGTGAGAAGTTCAACAATGTTCACGAATATTTCTCTTAGCATAAATTATCTGAATCCAATTAATTTTATGTTCACTTTATAATAATTTAGTAACTTGAATACCACTGAATTAGCTCACAGTTCAGCTATGTGTTCACAGAAGTAAATCTAGTAGCCCTTTGCAAGTATCATTCTGTGTACGTGAATTAAACATCAGGTAAAAATTTAGTGATGGCTGAAAGACAGCAATTTCTCCATCAAACAAAACCATTCTAGTTCAAACCATTCTAATGCAACTAGTCCTATAGACAAACCAAGATATGGCCATGAATATTGATTACCATATTTCTCTTTGATCTTTTAAAGAACCAGAGCTTAGTTTTACTGCTATAGCCAGGATTAGTCAGCAGTAATTGGAGAGAGAGATAAAATTCCTGAGGATATACTGTACCCTATCCTAAGTATCCCAAATAGGAGTTATTCTCTGCAGATGCCTGTTTCAGTGGTGACTATTTAAGTGAAAACTGAAAATGAGAAAAAGTATATCAAACTATGTTATGTTGGTCCCAAACGGTCTATGAAGAGCATGTGTAAATTTATCCCAGAAATGTGCAAAATCTTCCACTACAGAAGTATACAACTAAATACACACGGTCTGTATATTTTACAGGGACCCCATAGATGTGAAAAGTGAGAAACAATTTATCTGCAGTAAATTTAGAAAAGACAATACTGTCTCTTGAATTCTCGCTATTTTTCCTTGCTATTATATGTTAGATTGCATAAGCATCCTGCTTGGCAGAATGAACCATGTAGGCAGATTTCAAGCTCTTGTTTAATCTGATTTTTTTTCTATCTTTTCCATGATTTATCCGTCCAGTCAGCTGCCCTTAGCTACCATGACAATATCTTACCATACCTTCAGCCAATAAAAGTGGATACACACAATACTTTCTGGCTGTTGGTGATAATAGCAGTAATACTTTATGACTCTCTTGTCTACATCAAATTTCTTGTTTTACTGAAAATTTCTAAAGTACTTAAATCTGAATCCAGACAAAAATAGATGCATTCCCTTTGTCTAAATTAAAAGATGGGCTTTAATTCAACTCGTATGATGTACAGTACTGCTAATTATAATTGGCAGTCTGTGCTGAAACAACCTAAAAGCCAAGATTGTGATGAATGATTTCCAGCTCTAGAGAAGGAATCACCTATACTGGGGCCAAGAATATCAGCAGGACTTTACAGCGTGATTACTGTGGCCTGCATACACCTACTCCCAAAATGACATTCTTTCCACTGAAGTTTTCTATGCTATCCCAGATTTAACACATTTGTTTTTAATGCTTATCATAGCTGGAACTGAGTACACCAAGGTTACTAAAGTAATTGAGGGAGAACCACAGATTATCGAGAGAGAAATCAAGAAAGTCCATTTGGAAGGTTAGTTTGTTTAAAAATCCAATATCACTAAGGCCTCCTCTGTCTGAAGTAATCATTCTAGGTGCAGAATTATATTATTTATTCACAAAAATTACTTAGGTCTGAAGTCAATATTTTAGCTAGTAGATTTTTATGTTTGTTTTGGAAAAAGAATTCTTTAACATTACAGAGAAAAATGTTGAGGCTTATCTTGTGTCTGAAAGTAACCAAAAGATTTGGCAGGCACAGTAGACAAGAAGTAATATCTAAACCACAAAGCATAGGTAAAACATTTGAAGGAACATGCACCTTTCTCTAAGCAGCACATCCAGAAGAAGACCACGTGAGTTGTTTTTAACATGAGATATTTCATGTCAATGTTAATATGATCTGTTGGGTTCTCAATTTAGTAAAAGAGTGGGGTGGAGGGATTGCAACCTCTGGGCATGAGTAAATATCGATTTCATCCTATTGTTAAGTGAGGAAAATTCCTCATTTTTAAAAAGCTGAATGGAGTTGAAGTCCAACCTGAGGAGCCAACTAATGTTCAGCCTAGGTATATGCCGGGAATTAATTCTTCAAGTCTAACAATCTATTATATTTTTTTTCTAATATTTTATTTTATTTTTTTTAAATTAAAAAGTAGTTTGCTTTGGGTTTCTTTTGGATTAGCATAAGGTACTTTTCTAAATCTAATTCTCATGATGCAGAGTAAAAATGTATTTGAACTACAAACTTAAAGAAATAATACAGTTTTATACTTCTTACAATTTGAAGTTTACACCAAATGCTGAAGGTACACCAGTTATTTGTTATGTTCAACGTTGAGAAGTAGAAGGCATGCAGGGAAATCAACTATTGCCTGAAAGGTATGATTTTTGACCATGGGACCTTACCTGAAAACATACTACTTCATGCAGGCCACGTATATTTTCACGCTCTCATTTTCAAGATGCTGAAGAACTTGGTACAAACGCACACCATTTAGCCTCAGCTAAAAGAGGCAAAGCCTGTATCTCAGGGCAACGCATTTACAAACCTTGTACCTCAAGATGAAAAGAAAACTGCTGGTTAAACGAAGAGACAAGTACTTCATGTAAAGAGGAAAAATGCTACAGTCATATTCCTGTGACAGTGATAGAAGCATGCTCTCTTAAGTTTCTGAAATATTTTTCTGTCTATTGAGAAGACACCTGTTTTTTAAAAATCATTCACGGTTTAATGAGAAAGAGGGAAAACTCTCCATAGATTGAACCAGTCTTTTAGAAAATAGATGTATCAGTTAGTGAGAGTGGCACCTCAATGGACTTTGTTCCGCCATACCCGGAAGTAGAAGTCTCTGAGAACATCAGCTGACCCGTAAATATGAAGTGATACTGTGGGCTCTCAGTGAAGCTACACATCACACATCCAACTGGACTGCACACTGCAACTGGACATGTGAACAACATCTTGCAACAGCTGCGTTTCAAGTGTATCATTTATAGATAATTCCTAAAGAAATGTCTTGCAGTGCTCTGCAAGCAGACCTGAACTTCCTCTGCCAAAAGCTGAGACCAAGTCCTGAGCAGTACATTAATCTGAATTCCCACCTCACTGTCTGCATCAGATAGATTTTGCCTGAGTAAAATGTCCTGGCCAATGTTCGTGTCATGCAAATGTCCACACAAGATCAGTGTGAATAATGGATCAGTTCATAGTGCTAAAATTTAAAAATATATTTGAAATATTGATAGAATTCTATGCATGAATATGAATGATGGAAATGTGTAAACTCTAATTATTATTAGCATTCATCTTTCAGGTGACATGACAATCTAACAAAATCTTTAATTTGTTAAAAACATTTAGAAAAAGCAGATGTTACAAGTCTACAACGGGTTTCCAACATTTATAATGAATTATACCTCTTACACTGACTGAAACATTTCTATTTTCTAGAAGCACCTGTACGGAAAGTACAAGCAAACAAGAGGACACAAGGTAAAAGCAAAACATATGTTAAAAACCTTTAGCATATTTCAAGTATTTTCCCCTGCTACGTTTAAGGTGAAACAGGATGGAATTTAAGAAAACAGAGTTCTAAAGGAAAGAGTTACATTTCTGCTTAAAAAAATAATAATAATAATAACAAAACTTGGTAAATGACTTATACATTCTTTATATATACAAATATATATATATATTTCTATCTGAAATAACTTTTATTATGTGCTTTGGTCAGGCATTGTTTTGTAATAGTTTAAAGTCTAGCACTGTGAAAAGCACTGTTGTGTTTTAACCCAGAAGGCAGCTCAGCACACAGCTGTTAATTCACTCCCACCTCCCCGTGAGGTGGGGGAGATAATCAGGAAAGAAAAAAAGTACAGTTGAGATAAAAACTATTTACTAAGACATAAGAGAAATAATAGTAGTATAAATATTTACAAAACAAGTGATGCTCAACGCAATTTCTTGCCACCTGCCAACTGATGCCTAGCCAGTCTCTAAGCAGTGGCTGCACACCCTCTGGCGAGTTCCTCACAGTTTTATAGGTTTTTTTGCATTACATCATGTGGTATGAAATGTCCCTTTGGCCAGTTCAGGTCAGCTGTCCCGGTTCTGTCCCCTCCGAGTTCCTTGTGCTTCCCAGACTTCTTGATGTCAGGACACTAAGAGAAACTGAAAATTGAATCTTCCTTGTCTCAGCAACAACTAAAACATAAGTGTGTTATCAACAGTTTTTCTCCTAAAACCAAAGCATAGTATTATACCAGACACTATGAAGAAAATAACTGTCCCAGCTGTAACCAAGACAGTGACACTGGGATTCCCCACTGTGGGATTTGTAACACAGGGATTCCACATTATCTGGGTTGATTGAGAAACTGAGAGACAACTGTAATTCCCTATCTGCCAGCATGGCAGGGAAGGATTCAGTGTCGAGATTCATTTTTTCCTCATTTCATCAGTAAACACAGTAACTATATTACATATAATTACATGTTATATTTTCTTTTTTTTTCTCCAGGGGGATCAGCAAGAAGGAGGACAAGACTAGCTTATTCTTAAAAGCTTTTCAAGATAGAATCCACAGAATTACAAATAAACGGCGTGGTCTTTGAGAGAAAGAGAAAATGTTTTTTTTTTAAAAAAAAAAAAAAAAGAAAAAGAAAAAAAGAACATTAGAAAAAAATGTGTTTTGTATCACAACGTAAACTGAACCATGAATCCACAAAAAGATGTGAAAATGCAGATGCTTACTAATGGCATAATGCTCACTAGGGGTATTCCATTGGAGGTGCTATAAATGCTCTTAACAGTAGGCATTATGCAAGGAGGAATCCTGGAACTGCTGAAGGCACAAGAAAAACTTCCTCCAAATTCTGTAGAGCCAGGATTCCCTCTTAAATTGGTTAGTAAATGTTTGCAGGATGGGATTCAAAAACAGCAGGGAACAATGCAGAATGTATATTTTTTAATTATTTTTATTTCCACTAAATAAGAAATATAAATGAAATCAGATCCTTTCTGGAGAAAAAATCACCTCAGGTGACTTTTAGAATGAGGATTGTAAGGTATTATGAGTGTTAGCGTAGCACTTTCGGTTCAGTAGAATTGTATGTCCTTTATAAGTCAGATTTTGTCATGTTTTTAATGTCATAGTGAAATGGATAACATTACCTTTTCTAAACAAAGAAATAAGCCTTATATTCAGTGTATCTCTTTTTGTTCTACATTGCATATCCAAATGTCATATGGTAAATGTGGCTAATGGAAGCTCTTAGTAAGGGGGAAAAAAATGTTACGATCTTCCTAAAATGTATTTGAGACCAGATTGAACTTTATTTATGTGAAAAATCATTCTTGCTAAAGGTGTGCTGTACCAACACACATATTGAGATTCTGAAGTGTTTTCCCAGTTTTCCCTAAATATGTCTTCTGGTGTTAAAGTGGATAAATAAACTGCATGCAAACAATTAACTGCATGGAAAATGGTGTCACAAAGATGAGATTAGGTCTAAAAGCTTTTATATCAAATCATGCTTTGCTAGTGTCTGGTATTAATGTGGACTTGTCTGTAAATTATATCATTTCCATAACTCTAATTTTGTACTCATAAAAATTGTTTACTTTGTTAATGAAAGCTGGAAAACAATTACTCATGGAGTAAGAAAAAACGTTCAAAGTGCCTTAATTCTGCAAACCAAAGTTTAAGTGGAAACATCTGATGTGCTTTTACATTTCTGTCTTAAAGAAATACTCAATAAAGAATTTGGCTAAATTTTGTTGTATTTGTAAATAAATCTTTTTTATGATAAGCAAACTGTAAATATTCATAAGCTATCAGTGTATTTGTAGATAAAAACATGCCTTCACAGAAAAACCAAAAGAGTGGTTGAGCACTGCACAGGCTGCCTGCCCAGGGAAGTGGCAGGGCCACTGCCCTTGGAGGTGTTCAAGAAACATGTAGATGTGGCACTGAGTGATGTGGTGTAGTGCACAATATTGGTGGTAGGTGGATGGCTGGACTGGATGATCTTAGAGGTCTTTTCCAACCTTTATGATTGTATGATTCTAAATAAAGGAGAGAGAAGGAAAGAAGGAAGGAAAGAGAAAGAAATGAATAATTACTAATTTCAGACACATTTCTACCAAGTGCTCTCCTTCCTTTTAATTTCCAATAATTAACTCGTCTGTAGAAAGAAATCCATGAGGCTCACATGAAAGGAATGAGAGGTGATCATATTTAGCTAAAAAACACACTATTCAGGTTTTTTCATTTAAAAAAAGAAAAAATGAAAAAAGACAAAAAACTGTGTTTCCTACTTTGTCTCTCCTCATTTGCCACATGTTCCTGTCCCTTCACAATCTTTATGGCCCTTTGCTGTTAAACTGTCAGTGCTTTTCCTAATGCTGCCCAGGACAGACTGGCTCTGTCTGTTGGGACCCAATGTCCTTCTTTGCAGAGCTGCCTTCAAACCAGTTAGCACACAGGCTGTACAGGATAATTCTTTCCCTGGGGCAGGACTTAGCTTTACCCTTAGCTGAACTTCATGAGGTTTATGTCAGACAATTTTTCTTCTGAACAACTCTATGATGATCACTCCTTGTTTTGTAATCTCTGCAAACTTGTAGGGTGGAGGGTGCACTCTGTTCCATTGCCAAGCTGTTAATGTAGCTGTTAAATAATATTGGGCCCCACAGTAACTGCTGGGGTACACACTGTGAAACAAAAGATGCTTCTGATCATAGTGTGTCAGATGTTTAAGGTATGAGGAATGCTATTTAATCCATGCCTGCTTTATAATCATGAGCTTCATAATAACTCCTGCCGATACTTTTCAGGGTTGTTTCAGTCATGTCTGGGTTGAATCACAGGCAGTTAGTCCTTTAATTTCTAGTCCAACTATCTCACTGTTATTATTTTTTTTTTTTCTCAGCAAAATATCTGACAGTTTTTTCAACAGCTTTATTTTCCACAGAGAAACATGTGGCCTGAGTCAGGGCCACATTGAAGCCATGCTAAACAGGATTAAAGCAGCATGTTTATTAAGTGTGAAAAATACATCAATGCAAAAACTACTGGCAAAAGATGGGGAGATTTTCAGGGACACAGGCAGCAGTGACTTAAGGTATGATTTGCAGTTTATCCCAGTCCCTTACAGCTGCTGACCGTACTGCAAATGATATCTAAGAGACATCCTAAGGTTCTCACCATTTCTGCAATTCCCCAGAGCTCAGGTGCTCTCATTGTCAGCTTGACACTACTGGTCTATTACAGCCTGGCAAATCCAGATCCTTCATTCTCAGCAAGTAGAGATCCACCTCTATAGACATATAAATCCAAACTCCTCTGAAGAATTTAGCAGCACTCTTTTATGAAGGCTTTCATTACAGAACTGCAGTGGAAGATGCAGACATAAAGGCAAGTGAGACTGCTGAGTCCCCGTGCTCTGACCTAGAAGGAAGCAGCTATGATTTAACTGAGAAGGACCATTCTTTCAAGGGAGGGCAGAAGGACAACTAATTTCTTGATCATGGCCAGATAGACATAGGAAATATAATAAGTACAAATTTTAAACAGGAATCCTGGCAAACGAGTATTTGAAAATAAGGTGTATGTTAGCATCTTTTTTTTCACATTTTCACTTTGGTACAGCTAAGATTGCAATGGCTCTTGGAAGGCTTATTCTGCAGTGCTGAGCCCTTGGCAAAAGATCATGGAACCACTGAAAGACACACACATACTGTGTAAATCTGCAGAAGCCCCAGGAACATTTCCAAGATCATGTGTCCTGGTGTATGCCCTGATGATGCCCAAAATCTACAGAGACAGTGCTTGAGTGCTTACTGTGTAACATCTCCAGTCCTCATCAAGGGCTCTGAAAGCATTAGCCAGAGAAACGTCGAGCCAAAATACAAACAGAAGCACGTCTGGAAGAAAACAGCTTTACATCAAATGTGTATTTATAATTTCTCCAGATGTAGATTAGAGACATTACAGATGGAAAAGTCTTATTATTAAGATCACGTTATCGATCTCCTAGCCAAGACTGGATTGTTCCGCACTGTTACAGTCAGTAATGTTTTGCCCAGACAAGTGGTACTGTCTCACAGTCTTTCTCTGACAGTCATCTCAGAGTCACTTTCCCATATTCTGCTCTCCTGCCTGTCTTAGCTGCCATCAGACTAGGCACACATATTCCATTAAGTACGCCTTCATTAGAAAAGACAGCTGTTTTAGCCATAAAAAGGATGAGCATCCCTGTTCACGCCAATAACAAACTTGCTCATACTTTCCTGAAACATCTGCACAATTTGAGACCCATCATAGTGCTGAACAATCTATGACTTCAATTTGTGGATGGCCTCATAGGTTTGACTTGTTTGTTTGGCCTCTTAGGTTTGACTGGTTTGTTTGTTTCAGTTGTGCCATAAAAATTTAGGATACATTGTTCACAATAACACTGTATCACAGAATAGTTGAGATCGAAAGGGGCCTCTGGAGTTCATCCGGTCCAATCCCTCCACTCAAGTTAGACCACCTACAGTCTTGAAAAATACTTAAAGGCTCAGCTGGAAATGCCCCTATGTAATTTTTCTCCTTCTCTATAATAAAAACTATTTTTCAAATACCAGTGCAATGAGAAGTTATTCCATGCAATCATTTGAGCTCCCCATAAATCAAGTAGAGTTATGGCAGTATAAGTGTGGCAGACTATAAAATTCAGCATTATTAGTTTCATCATTGAAAAATGTACTTGTCTGAAAGTCCTGAGTCTTCATCCTCTGGCAGCAAGGACACCAGAGCTGCCCTGAGAATCTGGCAGCCAAAATCCCATTTCAAAGTCATCTGGCTCTTGGCATCATGACACTGGGACACAAAGACCAGAAAGCCCCTAAACTCCTGGCTTCACAGGCAGAACTGCCTTTGAAGAGAAGCCCAGCTAACTAAAATATAGAGAAAATTGAGATGTATTTGCTGATTGCAGAGAGACAATAAAGTGTATTTGCTGTCTTAGGATGTGCTCAGGAGAATGGGGTATTAATGCCACTGTTGAGAGCACTGATGAAACATGCAATTCTGGTTATCCAAGCACACGGAGGGTTGTTTACATCTCTACAGGTGCAGGGATGATTGAAGGAGTGAAAAACCTGTTTTCTGATAAAAAGAGCAAGATCTTAATTTAATTAACTTTGTAAAATGGATGGTAAGAGAAAATGAAATTGTCTTCTCCTTACACACAAGGAAGGATGAGGAGCTGTAGAAACAAAGAACACTTTTGCAGGGTTATAATGATTAAAAATTGGTGCTTGCTAGAACAGCAAGGACTTTGTCACCAAGGACTTCTTTCTACACAACTGCTACTCTTTGAATCCATTACTGTTTACTACAGTCTGCCACAAGTAGAATCTAAAATTAAAAAATTGTCATGGTTTTGTGATTTTTTGGTTTTCTGTATTCCACATTATAACATCATGTAGTGGAGTTAAACTGTTAATGCTCCAATTCCAGGTACCTGTCCCTGTACATTGTGGAGGTCATGGGATCTGGCCCTTCTTACTGCCTTGCAGTGGGTGCTGGAGGGTGCTTTCCTAGCCGTACCAAGCTTTTCAGGTTTGACTCGGTCTCAGGAACTCTCTCTCTCTCATGTTTTATTTTGATTTATTAGTCTCAATTTCAATTAGATTGTATTATATTGTGTTATCTTGCATTCTGATATCATAGTTAGTAAAATAAATTATCCTCCATAGATCATTGCCGCTGTTTTTTTTTTCCTCCCTTGAACTCAGCTCCCATCTCCCTACTCCTTTTCCCTTTTCCTTCCCATTCTGTGGGGCTAGGAGGGGCCCAGGGGCCTACTGCCCCCTGTCATGGGCATAGATTGATCTAATTAACTCCGTGACAAAAATTCTGTGTGTTTACACCAGCCATAGCTGATAGTATCCTCTTTTCTGTGCATCTTTTTGAATATTCACTGTCTGACATTTGGCAGAGGAAGGACCCCTTTCAAGCCTTGCTCAGATCTGTCCCTGTAGCAACAGCCACATAATAGAGACTGAAATCCTTCAGATTGAGGCAAAGCCTCAGATTTTCCATTCCTGGACAAGACCTCTTATCACTAGACAATTAAGTTAGCAGTTCTATCACTGCTTTCTCTGAAGGAAAAGTTTCCTTTATGTAGATGTCACTTAGAAGTTCTCCAACTATTTTGTAATGAATAATTAGAGACTGTCCTCTTACTTTGCTACACATTATAGATAACTCTGTCCAGAAGAAGAATATGTGGAGATCTTTCAGGGCAAACATAGATGTCCAATACTCTTCAGTATGAACTAGCCCCTGTGTGGGAAAGTCACAGACAGGAACTTTAAGTTTCTTTTGGATCTGAATTCCATGTGACGCTAACAAAGTGTATCTGCATACAAAGCAAATGCACCTATTGATTTTTCACCACAAAACTTTATTTCATCAGTCCAGTCTGTATAAAAAGACACATAACCATTTTTTATGCATTTTATAACTGTGTTCAACTGCAAATATCAAAATTTACAGTACAGCTCTACAGTCTATCTCAAATGAGCTTGACAGCAGCCAGTTACTCTTAAGTGTTAAGACTCCTCTAATTTTTACATTAAAAAGCAATGCCAGTCTTTGCCTATGTGCTCATGGTTTAGAAATGCTGGAAAGCCCAACTAAGCCATTTGTTTTGTACTGTCCACCCTCTGTTCAATGATCATTTAGTTCTGAATGGTTCTGTTTTATATGTTAAAATACAC